GGGTTGAGTAATAGCAACAGAGATCAAAATGGCCGGCAAATAGTTACTATCTGGCCCTTTACTGAAAATTTGCCAATTCCTGATCTAACTTGTAGCATAATACTTGTTAATCAGTGCAGTATGCTTTAGTGCAAGGTCCTCCTTCTTTTCCACTTTCTGGAGGACTCCTATTCTTCCTCACAGATTCACTCCTACTGTGTGAACCAGTGTCTGACATGCCTAGAGAGGCACCCGTTCTTACTGCTCCAAAAAAAAGCACTTTGCCTCTATTGCCCTTATTTTTTACCTCACTCTATTGTACTGACTATTCTATACGTCTGCCGAGCCCACTGAAATGTAAGCTCCCAAGAATAGTTACAAACTTTTCCGCCTTTCTCTGTCTAGCATAATGCATGTACATATTAGGTGACCAACAAATATTTAAGGAATTAATGAATAAATACACTTTCCTGAAAACCTTAAAAGAACTAATCATTCTGAATAAGAATATGTAAACTTAGATTTCAACTGGTTTCTGTATTATTGAAATTACTCCTTAGGGGTAAACTATCTTGTGAGGTACCCTATGTAAAATATGCATGTAACGTATACAGGAAGGGAAGGCACATTAAATCTGTCACAGATTTGTTTAGTAGAGGAGCTGGCTCTTCTGTTTTGGTCTTGTGGATAGCACTGATGAAGAGGAGGACAAGAAAAACATAAAATGTCTGGGTTTTATGGCACTGTTCAAGACAGGTAGGGGCCAAAGGACAGATCTGGGAGTGTCAAAGACATTTTGGGGCCAAGTTAAAATTTTTGCAAGAACCAACACTACTCAGAAAAATGGAATGGAACAGAAGATCCTATCTTCTTACGTAAGAGGTAAGGAAGGTGTGAGAAACCTTATTTTCCGATAATCGTGTGTAATACAGGTAGACAGGAAGTCTATGAAGTCTATGAAGGAGAATAGCGTCCACATTACCATACTGTGGCCAGCGTCTGAGCCAATCTCCTGTCAGTCATTCAACTGAAACTTGATGCCCTATAGTGCCAGGCAATACAGTATGGCAGTCTTTTACCAGCTTAGCCTGTGGCAGGAACACGTCTGGTCAAGGATATTTCAATTTATAACAGTCATTGATTCAATAAACAGAAAATTCAAATATAAAATAAAAAAATAAAAACCTTCTGCCTATGATCAAAGCCTCTGAAAATAACACACTTTTATTTTCTTTGTAACTGAATGCAACAGGTGAGGAAGAAGCAGCTTTCATAAAAATAAGCACTTCTTCCTAGTGGTGGGCATGCAGGTAGGCTCACGAGACTACCTTTCTCACACAATCTGAGAGTTAAATACACAGCTTAAGTTAATTTCTTCTTTTTTTTTTAATTTTTTTTTTAAGATTTTATTTATTTGACACAGAGAGAGAGAGAGATCACAAGTAGGCAAAGAGGCAGGCAGAGAGAAAGAGAAGGAAACGGGCTCCCTGCTGAACAGAGAGCCCGATGCAGGGCTCAATCCCAAGACCCTGAGATCATGACCTGAGCCAAAGGCAGAGGCTTAACCCACTGAGCCACCCAGGCGCCCTTAAGTTCATCTCGTGCTTCATCCCATTGCCCCGTCCCATCTGGGGACACAGGAGCAAAAGGAAGTGTAAGTATAAACATGGCTGCAAATATTAGGAATAACACACAATTAATAATTACTAAAATGAGCATCTCAGATACCTAAGGACCAAAGAAGTCACTCTGAGTAACAACAGTTACTAGTAACTATAGTAACTAGTAACAATAACATTTTTTGTGTGTGTTTACTATGTGTTAGACTCTGTACTCAATGCTTTATAGTAATGCATTATCCCTAATCCTCAACAAAGCCTGTGTAAACGATATTAACCATTTAGAAGATAAAATGGAAACTCAGAAAGTTTAATGAACTCAGCCAAGATTTTTCTTTCCCAATTAGTAGAGATCTACTCAGTCAGTGTTTGAGCTCTGCTGCTTAGCACTTTCCCAAGCCCCTACTTTTAGGTGCCCATCTACCTCTTGCTTTATTTTTGCCATTTGCCATTGACTATATATTCTGCCTGGGTGGCTCAGTGGAGCACAATGATTCATAAAGCCCAGGCACATCAGGGCAATCTTCTTTTTTAAAAAAGATTTTATTTATTTATTTGACAGAGAGAGATCACAAGTAGGCAGAGAGGCAGGCAGAGAGAGAGAGAGGAGGAAGCAGGCTCCCTGCCAAGCAGAGAGCCTGATGCAGGACTCCATCCCAGGACCCCGAGATCATGACCTGAGCTGAAGGCAGAGGCTTAACCCACTGAGCCACCCAGGCGCCCTCAGGACAATCTCCTTAATGCCACTCTGTTCCAACCCAGTCACTATTAGTGAGTATTCGATGCTGTATCAGGCACATTGCTAGATGGTAGAAAGGTAAAGGTGCACTCCCATTCAAATCTATCCTACTCTGACTCCAGAAAAGTAGGTGACAGAATGTGGAGAGCTCCTGGCAAACTCACTCATCACCACTGCTGAAAAGAACTCAGAAGGGGCGCCCAGTCAGTTAAGCATCTACCTTCAACTCAGGTCCTGATCTCCAGGCACTGGGATCAAGCCCCGCCCCTTATGGGGCTCCTACTCAGCTGGAAGTCTGCTTCTCCCTCCAACCTGCACCCCTCTCGTGCTCTCTCCCTCTGTCAAATAAACAATAAAATCTTTAAAAAATTATTTTAAAAAACCCAACTCAGAATACAGAATCTTTATACAGGGAAGTCCTCACATCATCATCACCTGTTTCCCTGACCTGCTGATTCAAATACTATCTCTCTACAACTGCTACTCCTGCCCTCTTCATCCTCTTCCTATTCCCCTGGCTTTGCTGTCAGCCAGTTTGTCAGCCTTTATGCTCTCTGATCATACTTTATGCACAACCACCATAATTCCAAGCCCCAACTCTCACCTCCCCTTATACAGGAGAAAATGGAACCTGAGACTCTATCGCCGATACATAATGTGAGGAGAAAATGTGTTTTGTGTGTATGTGTGTCTATGCTAGGAGGACAATATAATTCTGTGGGACTGTAACAACTAGAGCACAGAGAAAGGCCAGGCTGGGAGATGCAAAAGACTTCAGGGCTGCTTCATACTGCCTGACTGCTGGAAGAGCAGTCTGATCTTGCTGTACACGGCATTTAAATATTACTCATCCACAACTACGACGTGTATTCAAAGTGAAAGTAGTGTATTCGCAGAGGCACTATCCATCCACAGACATGTGGAGTAGATTTCCTTTTCCATAATCATTAAAGATTTAAGAAACTGCTGGTTTCTAAAAACAATGAATTAAAAAGAATGAGAACTGAGTTCATTTTGCTTTCTACCACCCAGATTTAACTTCACTCTTTTAGGGAAAACAATAAAATTTTATACCCTCCTACAGTTTGCTAGTTTTAGAAATAGCTCCTATGTGATTTTACAGCTAAGTAAAATAACTCCAAATCCTATGTATTTTTCTTGGACTTGAGACTAGTGAAGACTTTCAGAAAGTTATTAAATGTTTCAAAAGTCTGAAAAGGAAACTAAAAATTTTATAGAATATACTGTGAGAGCTTCAAATTAAGGAAATTAAAAAACAATGTTATTTTAGCATCTTAAAGAGCCATAACATTATTCTGAAAAAGGTAATGGATATAGTATTCAGATTTTCTTTCAAAATTAATACTGAGCAATCAAGCTAGCAAGACTTTCATGGAAAAATTATTTTCTGATGTTTCTGGAAAACTTTCAGAACTCCCCCTTTCTGTCTCGGAAACACCGCTTCCTGTTAGGGTTTGCTACTTCACAAGCAAACTGTTTCTCCAGGTGAGTCTCAATTCCAAAGTACTGCGACGGGCTTTCCCTTCTGCCTACCTCTTTGCTCAGAGCCTTCTGTGAGAACAGGAGGAGGAGATAATGCAGAATAACCCAAGTAGCATGGAGAATCTAGAAATTTTTTCACTCTAAGGATGAGTGAAACAAAAAAGTGACAGCAGCAGAGTATTACTGGTTTGGTGGAGGGTGAAAGGGCACCCAAACGAAGGAAAAAGCTAGCATGAGCAGTATGCCAAAAATTGTGGAAAGTAAGACCTCTTAAAGGCATAAAGAAGGAATGATTTCTACTTCAAAACTGCCAAAGTCTATTAGTCTGACTCCTTAAAAAAAAAAAAAAGTCCAATTTCCTAAACATTCAAAAACATCAATAAGCTGACCTCATCCCTATCTTCATGAGCTAAAACTAGACAACATTAATGTGGATAGACATAAAGACAGAAATAGGTTATACATACACTCTATGAATTAGCCAATTATGAACAATGTCCTTTAGAATCATAGGGATAACTGATTTGGATGGCAAAAGGTGTTAGGATATTAAGACAGATTAACAGGAAGGAATTCACTACTTCTCTTAGAGAAGGCTTTCTACAGGAGGTTAGATTCTGGACGAATAGCAACAGGAGCTTAGCAGAGTGTTCCAACCAACCACAGGAAAATATCTCAGAGGGGGAGTGAACTGATTATATGAATGGGGCATTGAGTAAAGGAGCCTGAGAGAAGAAAGGGGAACCTTCAAGGGGAATAGGGCTGGTTCAGGGTGCCCTAATTAAGGTCTCCAAACTGGAGAAAGTCTGGGAGGGGGGGCAGGGGAAGGCAAAAAGAAAAAGCACCGTGGTTTCTTCACTTATTTCGCTAGGCAAGTTAAGGACTAGGCTTTGCACTACCTGGAAAAGCTGACAAACAGGCTTGTCCTGGGAGTGAAAAATTCCCAGAGGAGAGAGCCCTTTCTGGAAAGACGCAGCCCCCTGTTCCCTGAATTCCTGGCTGGGCACCATGGGGTAATAACTGGAGGCGCAGGGATGTCTATGGCAGGTGTTTCCTGGGTGTTGGCGTGGCTACCAGGCTGAGGTTCAGCGGCGGGTCTAGCACTTAGCGACAAGCAGGCGGCGGCGGCGGCAGCTGCGCGTGCAAACCACAGGACTTACCTTACTGTCATCCATCTCGGCGGACAGGCCGGCCTGGCCAGGCGCTCCCTCCCACCGCCCTCCCCCGGCTCAGCCGGCCTGGCCCGGCCCGGCCCCCGCCCCGGGGGAAGAAGGGGATATGGTTCTGACTGTCTCCTCCTTTCGCCTAATAGTTCGATTCCCTGATGCCACAGTCACGGGGACGAGGGACCAGTTCAGGAATGACAGAGCGGACCCTGGAGGCGGCCCAAAACGCCTCCTTTCGCCGCCGCCGCCTCCTCCTCCCCCTCCATGACAGTCTCGGGGTGTGTTTACAGACGCCCTGGAGAGCGGCCCGGACGGGAGGGTGGGCGGGAGCACTGCACGCGGAATGGCCTCTTCGGTTGCCGTATTCAGGGCGCATTCTGGGGATTGTAGTTTTCCCTAACGCACTATCTGCAGGGCTGACTAGGAAGAAAACTACAATGTCCACATACCCTCAGCAAGGCGTCTGTTTTCCTCCTGCCGGCGAGCGCTGCGGGGGAGGAGCCAGTCAGGAGGCCAGACTACGTTTCCAGCAGAGCGGTCTCTTGGACTTCCAGCGCTCTGGGCACTGGTGGGATGACTTTGGGGCCCCACAGAAGCCCGCCCCAAGGAGGAGCCCTGGGAGCAGGCACTCCTCCGGGACACCGAGGAAACCCTGAAGAGTCTTTATTACACACACAGACCAAAGGGGAAAAAAAATTAAGAAAGAAAGAAAGAAAAAACTAAGAATGCTGCAGCTGTTTTGAGAAACAGTTGGGCAGTTCTCACAGTATTAGACATAAAGTTACCATATCGCCAACAATTCCAAAGAAATGAAAACACACTTCCATGTGAAAACCTGTACAAGGATGTTCTATCCTAGAAGCATTATTCATAATAGTCAAAAAGTGGAAACAACCCAAATGTCCCATCAGTGGATGAATGGATAGGATAAATGTGGTATGTATTTGCAGAGGAATGTTATTGATATAAAGTACTGATAGATGCTACAGAATGGATGAGCCTTGACAACATACAAAATTAAGAGCCTCATTTTGTAGATTCCATTTATAATGGAAGGTCCAGAACAGGTAATTGAAAGAAAAAAGTTAACAAGTGGTTGACAGGGGGTTCGGTTGGGAACGGCGAGGAAGTGAGAGAGGAATGGGGAGGGATTGTTAATGGGCCCTGGTTTTCTTTTTTTGAGGTGCTGAAAATGTTAAAAAATTAAGGGTGCCTGTCTGGCTAAGTGAATAGAACATGGGACTCTTGATCTGGAGTTATGAGTTAAAGATGTATTTGCAGCCAAATACAGTTAATACATTAACTAAAAATTTTAAAAGAAATAGTGAATCTCTGGGCACCTGGATGGCTTGGTTGGTTAAGCATCCGCCTTCAGAGTGGGTCATGATGCCAGAGTCTTGGGATCAAGTCCCACCTCGGGCTCCCTACCTCAACAGGGAGTCTACTCTCTCTACCCTTCCCCACCTGCTCATGATCTCTCTTTCTCTCTACTTCTCTCTTGTAAATAAATTTTTAAAAATCTTTAAAAAATGAAAAAAAAGTGAATTTTACAGTATGTGACATATCAATAAAACCATAAAAAAATAAGATGGTCTTTGCATACTGCTGTTTTTTGTTGTTTTAGCCTAAATGAAACCATTGAGCATTTGATAAAGGTTCATTCATGTTCCTTAATGTTATTCTGGAGGACTCTTTGACCCAGTCTTTTTCAAAGACTACTAAAACCCTTCCGGAATTCAATGGAGGTAGAGTTGCCAGATTTAGCAGTAAATATACAGAACACTCACAACTGGTTTTAGGATAAACAAATAACTTGTTAGTAAAAGTATGTCCCATACAATATTTAAGACACACTTTTACTATAAAAAAAAAGTATATGTTGTTTATCTGAAAATCAAATTTAACTGGGTGCCTTCTATTTTATCTTTTAACTCCAAATTGAGGAAGGGTAATAGGGGCATACCTTGTTTTGCTGTACTTCACTTTATTGTGCTTTTTACAAATGGAAGGTTTGTGGCAACCCTGCCTTGAGCAAGTCTATTGATGCCATTTCCCAATAGCATTTTCTCACTTTGTATCTCTGTGTCACATTTTAATAATTCTCACTATATATATATATATATATATATATATATACACACACACACATATATATATTTATATATTTTTAATTTTATATATATTTATTTATTTAAGATTTATTTATTTGAGAGAGAAAAAGAGAGCAGGGAGGAGGGGCAGAAAGAGAAGGGAAGGGAGAGAAGCAGACCCCCTCCACTGAGCACGGAGTCTGTGGTGGGGCTTGTTCTTATGACCCTGAGATCATGACTTGAGCTGAAATCAAGAGTCAGTCCCTTAACCAACTGAGCCACACAGGTGCCCCAATTCTCACCGTATTTCAAACTTTTTCATCATTATTATGTTTGGTACAGTGATATGTGATTAGTGATTATGACTTGTTGAAAGCTCAGGTGATGGTTAGCATTTTTTAGGCATAAAGATTTTCTCATTAAGGATGTACACTTTTGTTTTAAAGAAATAATGCTTTGCACACTTAATAGACTGTAATATGGTATAAACATGACTTTTACATGCACTTGGAAACCAAAAAATTTATTTGACTTGTTTTATTGTAGTGGTCTGAGAACGGAACCCACAATATCTCCGAGGTATGCCTGTAACAGGAAAGTTGAATCATCTCCGACTGATCTGTATAATGCTTTAGAGGAACTAAAGCAGGTCACTTCCTCCAAGTAAAAGCCACGTAGCCAGGTCTTGTTGCTGGTAATGAGTCTGGCATGCTGGGGTTTCAGCAGTTGGGCCCACCTAGGGGCACAACTGTAACCCCAAAACTGCATTCACAGAGGTCTCAGGGACACCTAGCCACATCCTTTCTGATGATCAGAGGAGCAAAAGTGTGTGCTCATGGGAGTTCTCTTCCTCTGCCTCCCCTAATACCCTTTTTGTTCTAGACCTCCAGGGGCTGCTTTCCTCCCCCTTCTAGCTTCTTTCTACTGTGTCCAGCCTGGTGTCAGTTCTGCTTCCCTAGCTATGCCCTGGTTAGTAAGTCCTCTTCTCTGAGTGGAACTGCTTTTCCCCTGGGTTAATTCTCTACCACTCTCCCTTCCTGCATCCCAGCTGATGAAAGCACATCTCTATAATGGCACTTATCCACTCCATCCTTCCACAGAAGCTGTGTGTGAGAGGTTTGAAGACTCAGTCACCAGTCCCCCCAGGAAGGAGAACTAAGACCTTTTGAACCAAGTAGTAGAAATCTAAAAACATGCAGGAAAGAATGTACACCAGTTTCAGGAGAGAGGTTTTCTTAAGGGAGGGAGGGAGGGAGGGGATTGGGGTGAAGAGTGGTTAGGTGTATATTTAATTTTTATTTATTTATTTTTTTACATTTTTAAAAATTTATACTTAATTTTTAAAGAGATGAAACAAATATGTTAACTTTGGAAATGGAGTTGTATTATTGTCTTTGTATTTCTGTACGTTTGAAATACTATATATAACTAAAACAGAAATTCATTTTTTAATTAAAAAAAATTTTATTTATTAGAGAGAGTGCAGAACGAGAGAGAGAGGGATGAGCAGGGAGAGGGGCAGAGGGAGAAGCAGACTCCCTACTGGATCCCAGGATGCCAGGATCCTGACCTGAGCCAAAACAGACTGAGCCACCCAGGTACCCCTTAAAATAGAAATTTAAATTTAAGAATTATAAATATGCTCCCTTTAAGAAGTGTGGAACTACTTTTAAGTATTTTTTAGATTTCATTTATAAAAATAAACTTTAATCACATCATAAAGTAAGACTTTGTTAAGGACAGAGGATCTTATGAAGAAGTATTGCATAGTCATATGTTAAACATTTGCTGAGAAGTATCCAGAATTGGTAGAGGTGAGGAAGAACAAGAGAGAGCATAGTTCCTGTAAGTATAAATCCTTGAGGACTTTATAATCCAAGAAGAAGAAATTCACACATACAGGAGACTACGGACAATCACCAAACAAGGCATCTGGTGAAAATGATACCGACCAAACTTAATACTCATGTGCTAGATTGTTCAGAGTGGGTAGGGAGTGCCAAGCATCACACTGATCCCTGGAAAGGTAAAGCGAACACAGCAAACATACTTTTTTATTTTTAAGGAGTAGGCAGAAGTTTAGAAGAAGAATATTTTCTCAGGGTGCTGAGCACGCTTTATATTCATCATCTTCAATCTTTTCCTCCTTCTCCAAAGGAAACTCCCAGGCATGCAATTCCTTCTAAAAATGCATATAATTTTCTCCTCCCTCCACTCCTTTCTCCTCCCTCCGCAACACACACAAACACGTTTCATATACTCCCAGACACCCCACGTAGAGACACTGTTGCCCTACGAAGCATCAAGCCTCTGCTGCTGCTGTGGAGTTTCTGGTAGTGAATTCCTAAGCAGCCTGGCACACACCCACTCCCACTAGGTCTGCATGCCTTCCATGCCCTCATGTCTGTCTCCTGTTCCCCTTACCACTAGGGCTGCAAGAGCACAGGTGTCTAAACAGAGCCAAGATGATCATGTTACTCCCCAGGCCACATGGGTCTGCTTGGCACATATCCCCTGGGGAACATCAGAGAGAAAGGAAGCTCATTAAAATAACTTGTTAGGCTCCAGCTGGCTTCCCACTAAGTTTGACACACGAGTCTAAGAATTTAAAAATTACCCAGCCCTTTCCAAACTTTCCTTGGAAATGAAAATCGTTTCACTCAGTCCTGGCCCAGAGATTTTGGTTAGACCCATCTCCCATCTCGAACTAGCAATAATTAAAAACAAAGCCTACCAAGAAAGAAAACAAACGTGACCATGAAATCTACCATGGTAACTTCTGACCCACCCTAACACACACCATACATTTGGGGAAGAATGTACCCCCCCGGGTCAGCCCAGAAGTGACCTATCGTGTCTCTGCCTTGAGTTTTCTGAGAGCTGATCATCATCTGTGGCCGTGTGAGTGAAAAAGATTTTAAAAGGCAGCGCGGTTGTACAGTGAATTTGTGGGTAGCTCAAGTTATGACACACAGGCTGAGAGAGGATGGGAGGATAGCTATTCCAAGGGAAAAACAAACCCCTGATTGAAGAGAGGTAGGGGGTGGCATGCGATTAAGTGAAGAAGGCAAGGGAACAAAAAATTAACCTTGTTACAGAAACCACAAACAAGAGGAACAGTACGGTATTCTACATTCCGGAATGCCATGGCTACGTTGATATGTAAATCTGGCGCCGGAACAACAGAGTATTATTACGGCTGATATGGTAATCCGCAGAGGTACAGAGAGAAAGTGG